AGGTCCGGAGACAGACCCCTCTCTCGCCCCCCCTTCCGCCAAATGTGGAAACACCGGCTAAGAAAACGTTCACATGTTGGTGCCTCCTTTGGGCTCTGGTGGTGCTCTGCTGAGGCCGGCTGGTAGAAGCAAGGGTGCTCTCGAGGGCGCGAAGTGATTCGCGCTTCGCGGTTCGGCTCCGGGTCCTCCTTCTCCTCCTCTTTTCCCTTGGGGGGCGGCGCGAGAGAGCGCGAAGTTCGGCGCCTTCGTAGAAGAATCCACGGCATCAGCTTGGGCTTTCGGAGGTCCGAGCGGACCTCCGAAGGTTTATGTTTACCCATCGATCGTTGAAAGTAGGTATTTTTGGATTCCCAGATTCCAATCTACTTTCAGCGCCCTCCTACTTCCAGAGTCGAGTGGCTTCCCCTCTTCCCTCCTCTTCAGGAGGCGGGCGGAGACCCAGTGTATTTCCAACGCCTTCCTACTTCATGTTTCTACCTACTTCTTCTGATCGATGTTTGCCTGTGCGTTCTTGTTGTCTGCTGCTGCGGCCAGGTGGGGCCCGCAGGGGACCTGTGCGTTTACCTGTGCGTTTCTGTCTACCTGTGCGCTTACCTGTGCGTTGACCTGTTCGTGCTGTTGCTGCTGTTTCTGCTTACCCGTGCGTCCTGCGGACCCCCGAGAGTTTCTGCTTACCTGTGCATTCTTGTGTTTTTTTTATGTGTGTGTGTGTTTTGTGTGTGTGTGTGTGTGTGTGTGTGTGTGTGTGTGTGTGTTTTTGTGTGTTTTGTGTGTTTGCCTGTGCGTTCTTGCGGTCTGCTGCTGCGGCCCGGTGGGGCCCCGCAGGGGCGCGTCGCCGTCCCGGGGCAGCCGCGGGGCCCAAGCGGGCCCTGGCCGTGGCCGCCCACGGCCCCCCCTGCGGCGGCCTCTCGCGGGGCCGCCGCCCCCGGCCTCGGCAGCCATCGCTCGGGCGTGTGCGTTTTTTTTTTTTTTTTGTTTCCTTCGGCGAGGGCCATCGAGGAGCATCCTGGATCATCTGGCGAAAAACCACGCGCGAAGCCGAAAAAAAACACAGGGAATGGTTCCCCCGGGCGGGCTCGCGGGGCCGCCTCCCCGCTTGGCAGCCACCGCTCGGGCGTGTGCCATTTGTTCCTCGGCGAGTGGCCATCGAGGAGCATCCCGTCGTCTGCCGTCGACCACGTCGTCTGCCGTCGACCACGTCTCGCGTTTCTTGGCCCTGGCATCGCTCGGTCGTGTGCATTGTTTCTTCGGCGAGGACCATCGAGGAGCATCCTTGATCATCTGGCGAAAAAAAAAAAACACGCACGAGACCGGAACAAAAAAACACAGGGAGTGGGCGTCCGAGCGGTGGCCAGCCCCTCGGCCGAGGACGAGGAGCCGAGGACACAGTTCGGTCGGGTCCGAGGCCGAGGAGCTCACCAGTCGGTTGCACGCGAGAGTGACTTCTCGCCGCAGTGACCTTCGGTACACCGCCAACGGGCTACACCGTTTGCCCGACCTTGGGTCGGCCCCCGTCCACGGAGGTGGAAGCAGAGGTACGGGGAAGCAGCCCGAGATAGGGGGAAGCGGAGGTAGTGAGCAAACACAGTTGAAGCCGATGGTAAGGATAGGTAACCTTGTGGTAGTTTTTTATTCGTTGTTTTGCCGATCGGAGCGGGCCCTCGCACCCCCCCCCATGCCCCCCCGTGGAGTAGATCTTGGCAGTCTTTTGGCGCCTGTTTCGAGCAGGTAAAGTCTCCCCCAAAGGACGCACTGCTCCAAACAGTCGCACTAAGCAGAGGTCTGGAGCCAGACCCCCCCCTCCGCCCCCCCCTTCCGCCCAATGTCGACACGCCGAATAAACAAACGCTCACCTTCCCAAGGGTACCCTTGCTTGGAAGCTGGAGCATATACGGTGTATAGAGTTTGGCTCCTTACTTGCATCCTTGCCTCTTCGGTCCATCTTTGACCAACCTCGACGGCCAGCCCCGCTCGAAACGCTTCGACATTGGCGTCCAAGGGGCTTGCATCCACATCGCGCATCCTTGCTGTCAGTCTTGACCGTCGTGAGCAGATAACGCCCCCGAGTCTTCGCACCTTCGGTGTGCGGGGGCCGTTTCGGGCCCCCCCGAGCACAATCGGAACGTCAGTTTACGCAGGAGGAGAGCTCGGTCCCTGTGGAGGAGCCGAGAGTTCAGAGGCCAGCGACCCGAAAGAGCCAAGCCTCATGGAGATCTCAATGAGGACGAGACGACTGGGCACGAAGGCCAGCAGCAGTTCCTGTCCGCTCTGGGCAGGGCCCGCTGTCGGTGCCGCCGCGGGCAGTGTCCTTTTGCAACAAAGTGGGGGTAGAACCAAGCTGCGTCCCCACTCCGTGGGCATGTGAGGACACCACGCAACTCGAAGAGCGTCGGCGACCGTTGTTCAGGAGCGGTCCCTCCCGGCCCCACACGTAACGTAAGGGCATAGCATCACATGCAGATACGTTATATGGTGTACCCGGCCCGTCATTGCACATGCCCATCAGCGTCCGCTGTTGATTTTGGACGACGGATGCTGTCGGGCAATGTACACTTGTTCCCGCTCAAGCCTTAAAAAGACGAAATCGTCAGGAAGGTCGGGGCATCCCACAAGCCCTCACGGATCAGTTTGGCTCGAGGCATATCGAGGATTGGCCGATGTGTCCAGGGCGTCGTGAGTTTTCCCGGCGTCGGCCTTGGGGATCCTTCCCTAGTCTTCGCGAGCTCCCGTTCCAAGACCCCCTCGCGTCGTCAACAAAAAACCGCGACGGAAGGTGACAATCAAAAATGTGGCTTGCGATGAAACGCCGGTCCCAGGAAAGCGCTCCTGACTCCCAGGGGCCAACGTTGTGAAAAACATGGAGTCGCGGGCTTCGGTTTACCTCCCTCCCTGTCCTCCCCTTCTCGGGCCCTGGAGGGCGGGGCTGGCCCACCGCCCCCGCTCTGAACACCTCTGTCTGTGTAACCCCTTGCAGCCATCCAGCCCTCGTCCTTCGTCCACCTCTCGCCATTGCTCGCAAATGGCATGCATTGCATCGCCAGGTGCGCCTACGAGCTGGCCGCGTTCGTTCGCTACAAGAGAAGCGCTGTCATCCACAGTCTAAATTCAGCCGCTTCCGCGAGTCCCCGCTGGGATGGGCTGCGCCTCTCCTCCTCCCTGTCCTCTGCCCGACTTGGCTCGAGCCGCGGCTGAATCAACATCGTGCTCTGGGTGGAACGCGGAGCCCATTTTTGGGGGTCCTGTCACAATTCTGCCCGAGGGGGCAGCGGGGGGGGGGGTCAGTATCGGGGCAAGTTGGGGGTCTGTGCCGACATGGGGTCGGCATTGTGCCCTCATGGTGTCGGCACGGTGCCGACATTTGTGCCGACATGGTGTCTGCACTTGTGCCGACATCGGTGCCGACATTTGCGCCGACATAGTGGGTGGGCGTTTGCGCGACGTGCACGACCAGAAGCGCCCGTTGTGATCGCGCCAAAAAGTGCCGTTCACCAGTTTTCGTTTTATAGAAGGCGAGCTTGACGTGCGAAACTCTGCAGATCAAGCCGTGCTGCCATGAACCCTCGAGAGACCAGACCCCCCCAATAGCCAGCTGGACCCCCGAGGTTCCCCGAGGGAAGCGCGTTGCCAGGTCATGCGGGGCCGGGCCATCGCTCGTCGTCGAGGCCCCTCGCCCAGCCCCGGCTCCTCGCCCTCCTGCGCCATTTTGTCCGTCCTCTGCTGCCTCCTGGTATCTCTTGGACCCTCACCCTCGCCCCGCCCCTCGAAGTTTGCAGTCAACCGCGGGCCCCTGCATCTCACCCCGGCACTGACCTTGGCATTGCCCCGACACCGACACCGACACCGACACCCACACGGACACCGACGCCGACGCCGACACCGACATCGACACAGACACAGACACAGCGACAGACACAGCCACCGACACCGACACAGACAACGTCAACGACACCGGCACCGACACCAGCATAGTCACCGACACGGACAACGACACCGACACCGACACTGACACGATACCGACACGCACACCGGCACGAGACTGCCACGACACCGGCACGGACACCACCACGAGACCGGCACGAAGACTTGTGCGAGTGGATACAGGTAGCATCGCCTTGATAAAATACTGGGAATGTTAAACACGTTTTTGGGGGGCGTTTTTTGTCAGAATGAGGGGCTGGCCGGTCTTGCGCTGACCCGGCGTTTGCGGTTGCAGCGGGCTTCCGCGGCCCGCCCGATGGATGCCTCGCGACCCGCCCGCAACCCATCCGCGACGGCGCTGGCCACCCCGCCCGAGAGCCTTCCCCTATCGCTTGCCTCGCGGGGCGGGGCGGGCATCTGAGTAGGAATCCGAAGAGCAGGAGGGAGGGGGAGGGAGGACGGGGGAGAGGAGGGAGAGGAGCGAGGGAGGGATGGGGAGAGGGACGCCCGAAGTGAAGGTATGACGCGTGAGGTGGAGATATGAGGGCATGATATGCCTCGTCCATATTGCTCCTCTCCTTCGCTTTGACCCGCCCCGAACACCTGGAAAGTCAGAGGTTAGAGGACTGGGTCGAAAACTGAACCTCAGACTTTGCCTTTGCTGCCCCTCTATATGTTTTGTTTTTTTGCTTTTTTGTTTGCTTTCTCTCTCTCTCTCTCTTTGCTCCCTCGCCCTCCCCATTTGCCCGTGTGCAACCGCGCGAGCAGCGAAGAGGAGTTCCGCCTCTCCTTCCTCCCCCCCCCTACCGCTCTACATCTCAATTCTAGGATGGGCAGAAGCATGGCACCTCGCACGGCCGGCCCCAGGAACCCTTGGTGTTGACCTCTGTGGAGGGCCACCTCCTTGCTCGCCAGGTTGAGCCGACCTCCGCCGACGAAATCACCCGCGCTTGACTTAGATTCTGCGGGCCTCCCGCTGGCTTCCGCCGCGAGCGAGAGGCCAGCCTCTCGGAGCGTCGTCGGGCAGGGCCCTCTCGGAAGCGCCCTGTGGCGTGACAGGTCGTCGGGGGCCAGCGGATTTTATGCCAATCAAGGTCGCTGTTTTCGTATTCTGCATCGCGGTGCTCGGCTTCATCGGCACCACCGGCTTCATGTTCATGGCAGCAGACTTAGAAGTGCCCCAAATTAATCCATGTGTTGTCTGGGTTCGTTGCGCGTTTGGCCAAGAGAGCTATGCACACACACACACACACACCGATCCTGGCCAGGCCTATCCTGGGCCGTGCCTTCCTGGCCAAGCCAGGATGGTGTACGCTCCGATCCTTTGCTCAGGATGGGTCTGGCCAAGATCGGCACGTGGACACCCAGACATCTGGCTACTTGTTTCAGGAGGGAAAAAAACACACAGACACAATTAATCGTCGATTCCACAGAAAATATTGGAAAATATGGGAAGTGGGGGGGAGACGAAAACCCCCCAAAAGATTGGAAAATATAGGGAATCTTTTTATTTGTGTGTCTAACTATTTGTGTGTCCTGGGGCCCCTTCATTGTTGCTCTGGGGGCGCCGGCCCTGAGAGTTCGTGGCTCGTGTCCCCTTCTCTCTGATGCCAGCTTCTCGCCCTGAGCTGCTCTTGACGTTTGAGAGGTGCTCAGAAACGGCCGCCAGACGCCGATATTGCGAAAGACGCGCTGGAATAGGAACCGAGCGCGACGTTTAGGCGGACGGCAGCGGGGAGGAGGAGGAATAGGAGGAGGAGGAGGAGGAGGAGGAGGAGGAGGAGGAGGAGGAGGAGGGGGACGAGGAGGAGGGGGAGGAGGAGGAGGAGGACGAGGAGGAGGGGAGGAGGAGAAGGAGGAGGAGGAGGAGGAGGAGGAGGAGAAGGAGGAGGAAGAGGAGAAGGAGGAGGAGGAGGAGGAGGAGGGATCGAGGATTGCAGGAGGTGGCCCTGGAGGGGCCGGGAGGGGCCACGGAAGGCTACCACCGCGGGCCCAGGAGGTGCACGCCGAGCATGCGTTTCTTCGCCCCCCCCGTGGATTGCCCCCTTTCAGCCACGCGCAGAGGGGGGTACGAAATCTCCTCCTCCTCCTCCTCCTCCTCCTCCTCCTCCTCCTCCTCCCCCTCCTCCCCTCCTCCCCCTCCTCCCCCTCTCCTCCTCCCCCTCCTCCTCCACAATTGCTCAATATGAATACTACTCTCCCACGCGCAGAGGGGGGTGGGGGGAGGGGGGAGGGCTTCTTAGAAGCGCCCCTGCTTCTCAGAAGGCGCGGGCCTTGTCTATAGATGTAAGGCTGGGGCGCCTTCTAAGAGGCAGCCTCCTGCTAAGGAGCCCTCCCCCCTCCCTCCCTCCACCCCCTTGTGCGCGCCGCCAACCCTTGCCAACGAGCACCCGACGTGCCAGAAAGGTGAGGAAGTGGAGATGGGGCTCGTGTCTTCCAGACTCGGTGGCGCTCTTGGCGCATATGTATTGCCGCCCGCTGCGGGCTGCAGGCTGCCTGGCCAAAGGGATGACAAGGTGAAAGTCCCGGATGGCTCGTTCGGACGGGGTAGATCGAGGAAGAAAGCGAAGCAGTGTGGAGAAGGAAGCAGGAGGAGGGATGAGGGAGGATGGGGATGAGGTCGGATGGAGGAGGTAGGAGGGAGGCAGGACCAGGGAGAAGGGTTGAGTGTCAGAGCGGTATCTAAAGAGGAGCGCTTAGGAGGAGGAGGAGGAGGAGGAGGAGGAGGGGGAGGAGAGGGGCGATGAGAGAGTGCAGATTGAGTAGGAGGTGGATGATGATGAGGATGAGGCGGGGGGACAACGATGACGGAAGGTGGTAGAGGATGCACAGGAGTGGGAAGATGACGGAATATGAGGGAAGATGGAGGCGGCACGAGTATGGAGAATAGGATTTGGTGGGAATGGGGAGGAGGGATAGGGGAGATTTTTGTTGGAGGGGGATTTCGACGCTGATTGAGCATGCAAGGAGAGGGGGGAATGAGGAGAGAAGGAGAAGACAGGGAGGAGTGTAGGGGAGTGGCGAAATAATAACGCCTAAAAAGCCCAGGTCATCAAACGTGGAGTGCACGCGCACGCCTGGGGGCGTTTGGCGGTCCGAAAAATGCTTCGGAGTCCGTAATTAGCAGGAGGGGGGCATACCCCGTATCAAGGAGAGGAGAAGAAACAGGATGAGGCCGGGAGGAGGAGGAGGAGGAGGAGGAGGAGGAGGAGGGCATGAGGGAAAACACGAACTCGCACGCTCTCAACTCGCACACACTTAACTCGCACACACATGCGCTTAACTGGCACCGTCTGAACTGGCCCGCGCCGTGTTTGCACGCGGAATGCGACCCTTGCAGGGTATGTTGCTCTCCAGCGTGCGAGCTCAGCCCGTGCGAGTTCAGTCCGTGCGAGTTCAGTCCATGTCAATTTAGTACGTGCAGGGTCAGTTTCGCGCAAGTTCAGTTCGTGCGAGCTCAGTCCATGCAAGTTCAGTCCGTGTGAGGTCAGTTTCGTGCGAGGTCAGTTCCGTGCGAGTTCAGTTCCGTGCGAGGCTCAGTTCCGCGCGAGTTTAGCCCGTGAGTGGCCAGCTCCATGCGAGCTCAGTCCGTGCGAGGCCAGTCCGCGCGAGTTCAGCCAGTGCGTGGTCAGTTCCGTGCGAGTGCAGTTCCATGCGAGTTCAGTTTGTGCGAGCTCAGGTCCACGCGATTTCAGTCCGTGCGAGGTCAGTCCATGCAAGTTCAGTCCGTGCGAGGTCAGTTACGTGCGAGCTCAGTCCGTGCGAGGTCAGTTTTGTGCGAGTTCAGTTCGTGCGAGATCAGTCCGCACGAGTTCAGTTGCAAACTGCGAGTTCAGTCCGTGCGAGTTCAATCCGTGCGAACTCAGTCCGTGCTAGTTCAGTTCTGTGCGAGGTCATGTCCATGCGATTTCAGTTCTGTGCGAGTTCACTTCATACGCGGTCAGTTCTGTGCGAGTTCAGTTCCGTGTGAGTTCAGTCCCATGCGAGATCAGTCCGTGCGAGTTCAGGTTTGTGCTAGGCCAACATGTGCGAGTTCAGTTCCGAGTTCAGTCGGTGCGAGGTCAGTTCTGTGCGACTTTGGTCCGTGCGAGCTCAGTTCGCTTGAGTTCAGTCCGTGCGACTTTTCCGTTCGAGTTCAGTCCATGCGTGTTTGGTTCAGTGCGAGTTCAGTTCCGTGCGAGTTCGGTCCGGTGTGATCCAGTCCGTGCGAGCTCAGTCCGTGCGAGTCCATTTCTGTGCGAGTTCAGTTCCATGCGAGTTCAGTTCCGTACGAGCTCAGTCTGTGCGGGTTCAGTTCCGTGCGAGGTCAGTTTCGTGCGAGTTCGGTTCCGCACGAGTTCAGTCTGTGCGAGTTCTATTCCGTGCGAGGTCAGTCCATGCGAGCTCAGTCGTGTTCGAGTTCAGTTCGTGCCAGCTCAGTTCCGTGATAGTTCAGTCTGTAGTCCAGTCCGTGCGAGTTCAGTTCCGTGCGAGGTCAGCTCCGTGCGAGTTCAATTCCGTGCGAGTTCAGTCCGAGCGAGGTCAGTTCCGTGCGAGTTCAGTCCGTGCGAGATCATTTCCCTGCGACGTCAGTCCGTGTGAGTGCAGTTTCGTGCGAGTGCAGTTCCGTGCGAGTTCAGTTCCACGCGAGTTCAGTTTCGTGCGAGGTCAGTCTGTGCGAGTTCCGTTCCGTGCGAGTTCAGCGGCGTGCGGGAGCAGCGCATGCGAGTTTGAGGTCGTGTACGTTGGGACCCGCCCATCCAGAAACGATTTCCAACTGAAACTCATTAAACTTCTGAAAGGAGGGTTCCGCCAACCTTCGCGGAGCACGCGAATGAGAGAAGGAGGCAGAAGAGAAGGAGGACGATAGGGGAGGAGGAGCAGGAGACGGAGGATTCGGAGGAGCAGGACGAGGACACGGAAGAGGACGAGGAGGAGGACGATGAGGAAGACGACAAGGACGACGGCGACGTGGACGAGGCCGAGGTCGAGGACCCGCCTGTGAGTCAGAGGGCCCGCCCGACCCGCCCGTCGGGGTCCGCCCGCCCGAACCGCCCTTGGGGGTCCGCCCGCCTAGCCTGCACCCCCCCGACCCGCCGGCCTGACCCGCCCGACCCGCCCGCAAAGGTCGATGCCGTAGTCCCTCTCATTGACGTCATGGTCGCCCTTGCCCTCGATGTCGTCGCCCTCGTCGCCCTCGTCCTCATCCCCGTCGTCCTTGTCCGTCGTCGTTGGCGCCCTCCTGGGCGCTCGTCGTGGTCGTCCCCGTCGCCGGCGTCGTCGCCCTCTCAGTCGCCCTCGCCCGCGTCGTGGCTGTGGTCGTTCTCGTCGTCTTTGTCGCCCCCGTCGTCGCAGGCGTCGTCGCCCTCGTCGTCGCTGTCGCCCTCGCGGATGTCTGGCTGGATGGACTGTGCACTGCGTTGATGCCGCGCCCGACCAGACCCGCCTGCCCGCCGGGGTCCGCCCGCCCGACCTGCCCGCTGGGATCTGCCCGCCCGATCCGCCAGCCTGGGCCCGGTTGCCCCTCTCGCCCGCCAGGGTCGTCGTCGCGGCAGTCGCCCTGACAGTCGTCGCCGTCTTCGGCGTGTTCGCCGCCGTCGTTGTCGTCCTCGTCGTCGCCGTCGTCGCGACCTGATCGCCTTCGTCGTCGTCGTGGTCGCCCTCTTTGCTGCGTCGCCCTCGGCGTCATCGGCGTCGTCGTCGTCGCCTCCCTCGTCGCCGCTGTCGCCCTCCTCGTCGTCACCCGCGTGGGCTTCCTGCTGGATGGATGGCACGCTACTTTGAGATCCCGCCCGCCCGATCCCCCCGTTTGGATCCGTCCGCCCGACCCGCCCGTGAATGTCCGCCCGCCCGACCCGCCCGTCAAGGTTGTCGTCGCCATAATCGCCCGTGTCGTCTGCATCTTCGTCGTCGCCGCCGTAGTCACCCTCGTCGTCGTCTTCGGCGTCTTCTCAGGCGCCCTCGTCGTGCTCGGCGTCGTCGCCCCCTCGTCGTCTTCGTCGCCCTAGGCGACTCCTTCGTTGGTGTCGCCTTCGCCGTCGTCGCCGTCGTTGTCGTCGCATTCGTGGATGTCCGGCTGGATGGATTGCACACTATTTTAATGTCCCCGCCGACCCGAGCCGCCCGCCAGTCAGGGTCCGCCGGCCCGACACGCCCGTTGTGGCCCGCCCACCCGACCCGCCGATTAGGGTTCGCCCGCCCGACGAGCCCGTTAAGGTCCGTCCGCCCGACCCGCGACCCGCTCTTGAGGGTCCCGTCCGACTTGCCCTCCCGACCCGCCCATGAGGGTTCAGTCGCCCGACCTGCCTGTTGGATCGTCATCGCAGGCATTGGTCGACCGCGTAGTCGTCGTCGTTGTTGGCCTCGCCCTCGTCGTCGTCGTCGTCACCCTCTTCGTCGTCGTCGTCGTCGTCGTTTTCTTCTTCGTCGTCGTCGTCGTCGTCGTTGTGTCTCCCTAGTGTCCTTCGTTGTCGTCGTGTCGTCGTCGCCTTCGTCGCCCTCGTGGGTGTCCTGCTGCATGGATTCATACAGTCGGGGCCCTGAAGAAGGAGCCCGTTTCGTTGGGGAGGGGCTCCGCGTTCCCTACGTGTTTCGCAGCTTGCCTCAGGCTTTCCTTAGGTTTTCGACGGGGAGATCGAAGTTCAACCCATGGAAAAAAGGGGCCTCGTTCCTTATTTAGGGTTCCTCAGGTCAACGCCCCGACTGTATTGTCCTTCGTTGTCGTCGTGTCGTCGTCGACTTCGTCGCCCTCGTGGGTGTCCTGCTGGATGGATTCATACCCCTTTGTCGTCCCGCCTGACTCGACCGTCGGGCCGAACGAAAGGGGGTGACAGGGAAATGGGGGGATACGAAATTTGCTGCATGCAGCTGGTTTCGGCCCCACCGAGGGGCCCATTCCTCGATACATGGGCGCCTGGAGGCGCCGGGAAGATCAGCTACGTGAGCTGATTCTCAAACCCCCCCTTTGCTATCCCCCCCTTTCGCCCGACCCGAGACCGGCCCGTTATGGTCCGCCTCTCCGACCCGCTTGTCAGGGCCCGCGCGCCCGACCTGCCCGATCCGCGCCAGGCAGGCCCCAGCCTCCAGGGTCCGCCCGTTGGGGTTGTCACCGTCGTCGTCACCCTCGTCGTCTGCGTCGTCATCGATGGCGTCGTCGTCGTTGGCGTCGTCGTCGTCCTCGTCGTGGTCGTGGTCGCCCTCGCCGTTGAACGTCGTGGTCGCCCTCGTCGTCGTCGCCGCCCTCTTCGGCGTCGTCGGCGTCGGCGTCGTCGTCGTCGTCGGCGTGGCCCTCGTCGCCGCCGGCCTCGCGTCCCTGGATGGTTTGGCTGGATGCCCTGCGAGCTGCTCATTCGTCCCGCCCGACCTGGCCCGCCCGTCTGGCTGGCCCCGCTGTGGTCCGCACGCCTGACCTGCCCGATCCGCCCGGTAGGGTCTGTAGACGTCGGCATGCGCGGAACTCGCACGCACCGAACTCGCACGACATTGAACTCGCACGCGCCGAACTCGCACGGACGAGCTCGCACGCTGGCGTCTAAACTCGCACATGTTTTATTCGCACGCGCTGAACTCGCACTGGCGGAGCCCCCACGCACTGAACTCGCACGCACTTAACTCGCACGTGAACCAGGGCAACCCGGGTGATATATCCTACGGAACGTCGTCCGTGCAACTTCAGTCGGTGCGAGTTCAGGCCGTGCGAGCTCAGCTCCGTGCGAATTCCGCGTGAGAGTTCAGCTCCGTGCGTTAAGTGCGTGCGAGTTCAGCACGCGTGCCAGCAGAGTCGGGTCCCCGAGGTGGGAATGGGAGTCCAGGAGGCGGAGGCGAGAGATCAGGAGGAGGCGGAGGAGGAGGAGGAGAAGGATGCGGAAATCGGAGGTGAGGGGGTGAGATCGCAGTGAGATGGAGAGAGCCCCCCCCAACGGGGAAATCTGCTTCGGTTCCTTGCTCGTGCCGTGCGTGCGGGCGAGGGCGAAGCCGCGTGGGAGGGCGAGGGGAAGGAACCCTCCTCTGGCCAGGGCGCCGCCGGGGCGGAAGTCCGCCCACCCCCCCCCCGGTAGGCGGGCGGGTGCCGTCGTGGTGTCCCGTCGTGGTGTCGCGATGGTGCCCCGTGGTGTCGCGAGGTGTTCCGCGGTGGCCCGTGGCGTCCCGTGGCGAGGTGTCCTGCGGTGTCCCGCCGTGTCCCGTGAGGTCGACAGTCATATCGATGGTGAGATCGATGGTGGGATCGATAGTGAGATGGATAGGGAGGTCGATAGTGAACACAATTGCGAGATCGATAGTGAGATCGATTGTGGCATTGATGGTGAGAGCGGTTGTGATATCGATAGTGGGATCGGTAGTGAGGTCGATTCTGAGATCGATAGTGAGATTGATTGTGATTCCGATAGTGAGAGGAAAAGGTGAGATCGAGTGAGACGTTGGTTCCTCCCCCAGAACCTCCTTATCACCTGAAGGCGTTTCTCGCTCGACTCGCTCCTGACCCCTTCCAGGGAGGCTGGAGTTTGGGCGCCCAACTCTTCGCGAGCCGCCAGTTCCGAGGGGAAGAAGCACCAGGAGGACGGAAGAAGAGGAGGAGGGAGGGAGGGAGGGCAGGAGAGAAGGGAGGAGGTAGGAGGGAGGGAGGGAGGGAGGGAGCGAGGGAGGGAGGGAGGGAGGGAGAGGAGAGGAGGAGGAGGAGGAGGAGGGAGGAGGAGGAGGAGGAGGAGGAGGAGGAGGAGGGACGAGGAGGAGGGACGAGGAGGCAGGAGGGATGATGAGAAAAGAGAACGGAAGAGGAGGTGGAACAATGGGGAGGAGGAAGAAGAGAGGGAGGAGGAAGAGGGGGAGGACGAGGAGGAGGAGGAGGAGGACGAGAGGGAGGAGGAAGAGGAGAAGGGAAGATGGAGGGAGGGAGGGAGGAGGAATGATGACATTTTGGGCACGAGCTCGCCCCAGGGAGGCTACAGCGGGCCTCGCGTCCCCTCGGCGGTGCCGCGAGGGTGGCGCGGCCGAGCCGGTCTCTAGGGAGCTAGGGCCGATAGCTTCTGAAGGCCTCCGGGACCGGAGATCGCTCAAGAATGTCAGGGTGCCGGAGACGGGGGCACAGCAAACGGGGGCACGGGGAATGCCGATTTCCACGTTTGGCTATGCCCCCGTTATGCGGGCCCTGGGCGCCGTAGACGGGGGCACGGTAAACGGGGGCATATGGAAGAGCCTAAGCCCTCATTCAGCTAAAGCCCCGTTTGAGAAGCCCTGGGCCGATAGCTTCTGGAGGCCTCCCAGACCAGAGATCGCTAAAGATTGATCACGCTGCTCGGGCGGACTCTCGTTTTCGCCTTTCTGAGCCTCCTGGGAGGCCCTCGTCGTCACTGCTGGATTCGCATCGAAGTTCTGGTCAGGACGCACCCTGGGAGAGGTCCGGGGAGTAGCGGTATCGTTACCTTTTGGTTTCCCTAGTGTCGCTCAAGATTTGATCACGCGGCTCCGGCGGACGGCAACGAGAGGCCATCAAGCGTGGGGGGATCGAGGATTGCAGGAAAGTGGCCATGAAGGGGCTCAAAAGCGGCCCCAAAACTGCCCCCGCGGGCCCAAATGCACGACAGGTGCACGGTTCTATAGCGCCCCCGTTGGCGAACACCCGAGTGAAGTCAGACGCCAGAGCTCACGTCGCCGAGGCAGGGACTTGCCGTAGCCTGTTCGGCGATCGCGGCCGCTTGCTCGGCGTCGGTCTGATTCACGCCGTGGTGCTGGACACACCCGGTAGGTAGGGGAAGGAGGAGGTAGGAGGAGGAGGAGGAAGGAGGTAGGGGAAGGATGAGGAGGAGAAGGAGGAGGATGAGGAGGAGGAGGAGGAGGAGGAGGAGGAGGGCGGAGGTAGGAGGTAGGAGGGAGGCAGAGATAGCTAGAACTTCCCGAGCCCCGGGAGCTTTCGAGCTCTTTCACGGGACCGGCTTTTCACCCCGGGCAGTTTTTGTTGACGGCCCTTGGGCCGAGGAAGTTTGGGCGTTTGTGTTGGGCGAGATGCCAGACATCTCGGGATGCAGGGGCATGGAAGGGTGGAGAGCGCATGTGCCCGCGCCTTCGCCCGCCGCCGGCGCCACGAGGTGGCCGTCAACGACCTCCTGTTCCAGTTCTGGATCCCGCAGAACTGGCTCGAGTACTTCGCCATCTGGGGGACTGGAGGCGCCGCGCTTCCTCCACCCCTCCTCCATCGCTCCCCAATCCCCAGGTTCTTTCCAAGAAGACTGGCCGCTTGGAAAGGAGAGGGGAATTCGGGGGGACACCCCCAGGGGGCCATTCGGACGCAGCGTAGATTGCACAACCTATTCTGCTGCACCGTGGAAATTCCACCACAGAGCTTACACCATATAGTGTTCACGGCGCAGACTGCACCATGCTCTGATAACATTGGCACATCAGTTGCACCTCATAAGTTGTGCCACGTAAGTTCCACATCGATGGTTTCAAAACCTATTGCTTTCGGGGCCACGCTGGCAATCATGATTCTCCCAGGTCCATGTCCCCAGTCTGCTTCAACCGTCTCCTTATTGCAACAAGAGGCTTTCGTTGGCTCTCCTTGTTCGGGGCTGGCCGAAGCCCAATCTACTTTTTGAGCGCCCCTCCCAACCCCATGCTTCGACCTGCCTTTCTCCGAGCGGCCCGTGCTCCTCCTCCCCGCCGGGCACCCCCCGCCACCTGGCCGACCTCCCTCCTCCTCCTCCTCCTCCTCCTCCTCCTCCTCCTCTTCCTCCTCCTCCTCCTCCCTCCCCTCCTCCTCCTCCTCCTCCTCCTCCTCCTCCTCCTCCTCCTCCTCCTCCTGCGGAGCCGACGACGCGCCAGAGAACAGCACCGCAGAGAAACAAACAGCATGCCATGATCGCAGCAGTGTCGTGTGGCCCACAAGCGGGCTCATTCTCCAGCGCTCCACTGGCCTGAGCACAGTGCGAACCGAGGACGCCGAAGACATCCTCAATCAGACAAGGCACCAGGGGCAACGACAGGGGGGATAGGCATAGGGGGGGATGCATCGACCCCCAATCGCCCACTGATCGCCGACAGGGGCCCGATAGTCCCAACCTGCCCAGAAAGGTGCGGATTCACTATCGGGGGCCTATCGCCGATCTATCGGCGATGTATTGCCGATTCCAGGTGGATGTGCCCCCCCTATGCCAGTCCCCCCGATCGTTGCCCCACAAGGTAGCTGCGTTGACCTTGCAATCAGACGAGCGCGCCATTAGATGATAAAAAAACCATGCCAGGATCGCAGAGGTCCCTTTCTACCCCCTTCCCCTCTGCTCCCGCAAGAAAGGGCGAGAGAGGATCAGCTGGACGTTTTTGTTCTGTCTCAGAAGCCCAGCGGTTCCGTGCTAGGCATTGGCCTTAGGATCAGTCCTTCTGTTCTCTCTCTCTCTCTCTCTTCGCTCTTCCTCCGCCGGCCGAGCGGCATCACCGCGGCGAATGCTAACATGGGGCAGGCTATCGTGCGTCGGGGTCGAGGAGCCGGAGGAGGACTAGTTGAAACCCAAGACCCACCAACGATGTTGCAATCAACCCTCCCTCCAAGTTCCCTCCTCACATGCCCCTTCAATGATTGATTTGCACTTCGGGAAGTGCCCCGATGGAAGACAATCGTTCGAAAATCCTGAATCGGGTCGAAACACCGTTCCTGGGACTTCAAATCTGCGCATCATCGTTACTGTTGCGTCCTGACGAACCTGAATCGCGCCGGAACACCTTTCCTGGGAATTCATCACTGCGAATCAACGTGACTATTGCGCCCGGAAAGTCCTACATCGTACCAAAACACAATTTCTGGGACGTCAACCATGAGAGTCCGTGAAACGATTGTGAACTCTTACGACGAGTGTGCGTGACGCTGAGGCGAGAGGCACACTTTGAAAAGGAGCCGCCCTCAATCCGTGAAGTTCGTGCAAGCTTTTCTTGAACACGAATGTGCGCGACGCTATGGCGAGAGGCACCGCTTGAAAAAGGAGCTGGTGAAGCTCTTGCAAACTTTTTAGACGAATGCAAGCGGCGCAAAGGCGAGAGGCGCATTTTGAAAACGGCCCGCCCTTCACCGGTGAAACTCGTGCAGGCTTGTGAGAGGAATGTGCGCGGCGCTGAGGCGAGAGCCACATGTCAAAAGCGGCCCGCCACCCATCCGTGAAGCAGTTGCAATTTCTCAGTTTCAGGATCAGATGTGTCAGGAGGAGAAAACACACACACAGACACACACACACACAGACACAATTAATCGCCGACTCCCAGGAAAATATGCGAAAATATGGGAAGTGGGGGGGAAGACAGAAACCCAGAAAATATGGGGAAATATGGGACATCCTTTTATTTGTGTGTATTTATTTGTGTGTCCCAGGGCCCCTTCAATGTGGTGAGGAAGTCTCGGGCGAGTCGCCTGGCCCGCCCTGCCGCCACACCTCGAGGTGCGCCCGGGAGAAGTTATTTATAAGGAAAAGGAGTGAGGACGAAGACGAGGAGGAGGAGGAGGAGGAGGACGAGATCGTGGAGGAGGAGGACGAGGAGGAGGACGAGGAGGAGGAGGAGGACGAGGACGTGGAGGACGAGGATGACGAAGACGATGAGGAGGACGAGGAGGAGGAAGAGGAGGAGGACGAAGAGGATGAGGAGGAGGCGGAGGAGGAGGAGGACGACGACGAGGACGAGGACCAGGAGGAGGACGAGGACGACGACGATGACGACGAAGACGAATACGAGGAGGAAGACGAGGAGGACGAGGAGGAGGAGGAGGAGGAGGACGAGGCTGAGGACCGCGGGCGCAGGTGCTCCTCGTTTTTGTGGGCTCCTCGTGTTTGACAATTTCTTTGTGCCCCTGTGCTCGCCACACTCTTTCGCAGCTTCATCTGTGGCAACTGTGCCGGAGGCGGTCGAAGAGTCTACTCGCATCGTGCCGCCTTTGTCACCACCATCCTGACGCCGCGCCCCTGGTCGATCCAAGCCTGCCCGACCTCACAACGCGAGGCTGAGGACGATGAGAAGCTGGGGGGACCAAAAGGTGTCGGTGCCGCTACTGCCCAGATCTCTCCCGAGGTGCGTGCTGACCAGAACTTCGAAGCGACGCCAGCGGTGGCGACGAGGGCCTCCGAGGAGGCCCAAGAAGGTGACACACCTCCGAGGAGGCCCAAGAAGGTGACACAACTGGGGAGGGGTAGCGATATCAGTACACCTCCTCCTCCTCCGAGGAGTGCCTCCCGCGCAGGCACGCTCATCTTCGGAGTGCCCAAGTTCATCTTCTGCCACCTGTCGCAGCAGAGCCGGAAGATCCTGGACGCGCCCCGCGCCGCCGGCGCGAGCCTGCGCCGCCGCCTCTGCGCTCAAGTCGGGCGTGTCCCCCTACAGGGGGATTTTCGACGAGAAATAAAAAGATACCCCCAGAATAGTCCAAAAAGAGTCCAGCAATAGTCTGGGGACTACTTTCTGCGTATTTGTCTACCTCTGCTGGCGCATTTTTGGGGGGGTATTAGTTGCTCCTTTTTTGGTGTATGCTTTGGGGCATTTTTTTTTTTGTTCGTCGAACTCCTCCTCCTCGTCCTCCTCCTCCTCCTCCTCCTCCTCCTCCTCCTCCTGCAGGGGGGACAGGCCGGCCGCTCGAGGGGCGCCCCCCTGGAGCGCCCGCCGTGGGGCGGCCCCGCGGCCCGGCGGAGGGCAGCCTGCCAGAGGCCCGGCATCGCTCGGGCGTGTGCATTGTTGCCTTCGGCGAGGGCCCTCTCGAGGAGCATCCTTGACCATTTGGCGAAATAGCCAGGTTCCACGAAACCCAGTTCTGCCAACGCCCGACAGGGGATGCGTCGACGTTGAACGATCTGACGTTTCGGAAACGGCCGATCGTTCAAGGCTGCACGATCCCCGCGGTGGCAGAAAAACCAGCGCCGGGGTCGACACGACACGAGCCTGCCGTACCCGTACTGCTATACCCTTCGCCCGCTTCCCCTTGTTTCGGCCTGTTCGGAGGCTCTCGTCGCCACCGCTGGATTCGCCGAGGAGGTCTGGTCTAAACGCACCCTGGGAGAGGTCCGGGGAGTAGCGGCATCGGTGCCTGTTAGTCCTCTCGAGCCGTGCCCAGATCCCCGACGAGATGTGTTTTTCGATCTTGGCGTTCTCCTTCGATGTCGGCTTCTACAGGGCGGGCTGTAGAACCCCGGGACCATCAAGAGAGTGGGCCCGAGGAGGAGCATTAGACTCAGGGAAGCGGCCGGGACAATGCGGTGCACGTGGCTGTGCTCCCGCGCCTGTCCGGGCTGCAGATTCTGCCGCTGTAAGTGTTACGTGTTGTGGTCCTGCTTTCAGTCTCGGCATGCTCCTTTGGTTCCGGCCTCCGGGGCCGTCTCGCGGGCCCCGGGCGACCCCCCGCAGCGAAGGAGATTCACACCGGGGGAGCGGCCGGGGCCTCTTCGGGCCGCGGATGGCGCTGCTGCGAGTGCGCTTCGGCGGGCCGTCCACGGCCAGAAAACAAGCGATGCCTCAAAAGGCTCCCTCTTCGGAGCCTGAACCTGGCATCGCTCGGACGTGTGCATTGTTCCTCCGGCGAGGACCATCGAGGAGCATCCTTGATCCTTTGGCGAAAAGGAGCCACGCACGAAGCCGAAAAAAGCACAGCTGGGAATGGACGTCCGAGCGATGGCCAGGTCCACGGCCAGAAAACAAACGATGCCTCAAAAGGCTGCCTCTTCGGAGCCTGCATCCGCGGATGCTGCACCCGACGGCGGAGACATCCCCTCCTCTCCCGCCGGCGCGCCCCCCATGCGCAGCCACCCAGCCTTCGCCCTCCCGACGAAGCCCGAAACAAGGCAGGCTGTAATCCTATGTCGGGCCTGTCCCCCTACAGGGGGAGTGTCGACGAAATATTAAAAAAAATACCCCAGAAATAATCCAAAAATGCCCCCAAAATAGTATGGGGATTATTTTTGGAGTATTTTTTTACCTTTTTGGAATATTTTTGGGGTATTCTTATTTTTTCGTCGAAAATCTCCATGTAGGGGGACACGCCCGACATAAATGCAATCTCGAGTGGGCGGTTGGCGCGGGAGGTTGCGCCCGCTGGCACCGTGGCCGCGGGCGGGCTCTGCCTCCACGGCCCCGCGGACGATTCGGCTTCCGGCGTGCCCTTGGCCCCCAAGGGGCGCTGCAAGACGGAGTCGGTCGTCGCGCGAGGGAGCGGTTGGCACCTCTCAAGCGTCCAGTGTCTGCGGCTGGCCCTGTAGTCGGGGTCCTGAAGAAGGAACCCTTTTCGTTGGGGAGGGGCTCCGCGTTCCTTAAGTGTTTCGCAGCTTGCCTCAGGTTTTCCTAAGGTCTTCGATGTGAAATCGAAGTTTCACTTATGGAAAAAAATGGCCTCGTTCCTTATTTTGGGTTCCTTAGGTCAAGGCCCAGACTGTATAATGGGGGTATTCCCGTTTGGTCACCCGGCGGAGCTGCTCCTGAGCTCCGTGGCCAGCCCGCGCTCCAAGGCACGGCCTTTGCAGGACCTTCCCTGGGTTGGCCCCTGTGAGACAGCCTCCACATTGGAAGCAAAAGAAAAAAGAGTGCGCTTGGGCGCCTGCGTGACGGTCGTTTTGACCATCCGGTGCCCCGCGATTCGAAATGCGCAGTTGTCGTAACTGCGCCAATCGTGGGACCAATCGAGCTCCAGAACCGCAACGGCAGGCACGTGCACGGCGTCAGGGCCTGCGGCGGGCGGCGCCCCAGAAGCTGGCTCGAACGCAGTGGTCTGCGCCGTGCTGTGGCTCCCTGGCCCCTCCAGGACGCTGTGGTCTGCGTCGGGCGCCGGTGCGTCAGCGGCTGCAGCGTGCGCCTGGCCACTCCAGCGCCCAGCCTCCTCCGCAATGGACGTGGAGCCCACACCAAAGCTCCACGTCGCCTTCGCTGAGGCCGGGGAGCTTGGCGCCCTCCTTCGCGAGGGCGTCGGCGGGCGCAGTTTGGCCCGCCTGTGCGCCGACGAGAGCCGCCCGGCATCCACAGCCGAGGCCCGTGGCGTGCGCCTTCACCTTGTGGACGTCGTTGAAGTCGTCGGGCTGGAAGCTCGCCCAGATGCGCCCCCACAAGTGCGGCCGTAAGTCGCTGGAGCTCGAACCCGTGCCAGGGCCAGCAGCGATGCAGCCGACCGCGCCGCGATCGATGTGCGGGGAGGAGGGGGGCAGCGCGAGCTCGCGCAGCATGAAGATGCAGCAGTCCTCCGCCTACCGGATCCCCTGCTCCTGCGACGCCCAGAACGGCAACGGCCCGTAAGCTGCCGAAATGAGGCTGCCATCCCAATCCACGGAGCAAGTGGCCCATCCAGCGCGAGCCAAGTGCGGGAATTCGCCATGGAACCAGGAACCGTTTGTGAAGAGACGCCCCTTGAGCAATCCATCCGCGGGGCGGCGGACCCAGCACAGCGGATGGCAAAAACAAGGTCGGTTGATGGCAGGGTATGGTCCACCTTTTCTTGTCACCTTCTCCTCTTCCTCCTCCCCTCCTCCTTCTCCTCCTCTTCCTCCTCCTCCTCCTCTTCCTCCTCCTCCTCCTCTTCCTCCTCCTCCTCCTTTTCCTCCTCTCCTCCGTCTCCTCCTGCTCCTCCACCTCGTCCTCCTCGTCCTCCTCCTCCTCCTCCTCCTTGTCCTCCTCCTCCTCCTCCTCCTCCTCCTCCTCCTCCTCCTCCTCTTCATCATCCTCCTCGTCCACCTCCCCTCGTCATCCTGTTCGCCCTCTTGCTCCTCCTCTCCCCCTTACCATCTAACCCTCCACTCTTCCGCTCCCACGAAGCTTCATCGAAGTTTGCTAAAGGTGCCGCTGGCCCAGGGTGCCTCCGGCTTTTCGCTCCATGTTTGAGCCCCTAATGCCCCCTGAGCCTCGCGAGGGTTGCTCTGGAGGCCCTGGGGGCCTCCTTGGAAATCCTGCTGGCACCCTGTGCCGGGGGCACTGCTAGCAACACCCGACTTCAGGGAGGGAAGCAATCGGAGGAGGAAGTGGGGGAGTAGAGGCCTCCTAAATTGGGTCCAAGTAGCACGGGGTCGGAGGATCGTGCCCCATCGCCGATGCATCGGCGATGCGCGATGCATCGGCGATTCTTCTTCGACGTCTGCGATACACCGGCGATGTGGCGCGACTCTCCGACCCCACCTTCTCGGACCCCACGCGGGAGGCCTGAGGGGACTTAGGGGGAGGAAAGGAATCCCTCAGCCCTGACGTCGCAGAAATCACCACCACAGGGCCCCGGGGGCCCGACGCTTGGGGCGAGAACGCCCGCCGCGAAAGAGATGCGGCGCCATGAACTTGGGGATCAGAGGAGGAAGGGGGAAGAAGAGGAAGTGAGGAGGAAGGAGAGTGACTGATCCTAGTTGCTCTCTTTCTTTTGCAGGCTTTGCCTCCCAGAGGTGTGCCTCGCCTCTCCGTGTCAACGGTAGCTTGTGCTCTCATGAGCTTCCAGCAGCACTGTGACACTGTGACACTTCCTCCTTCCCCTCCCTTCCCCCTTCCCTTCCCCCTCCCCGGACCTCCGGCGCCGTCGCGGGGCAGATCCACATGGCGCTCCTTCTGGACACTTCCGCCGGGCGGCGCGGCTGGCGAAGGCGCGGCCCCTGGGGCGGACGGAGCGAGCGGTCCCGAAGGGGAGCCTGGCGGGAGCAAGGCCCGCCAGACGAAAGGGTGACCAGGGTGACCCTTCCAGTCTGTGCCCCGCGCGCTCGCTGGCCCGCGGCAGGCGCTTCGAGGAGTGCCCTCGCGCCGGCGCCGCCGCGGAGTCGCGGCCAGCTCCCGACAGTCACCACCCACCAAAGCACCCCAACCCAACCCGAAGGCTCAGATTTGCCCTCCATTTCCAGTGGGAGGGGGGGCGGGAAACATCGAGAAAAAACACATGTGGAACCCTTACCCCCCCCCCAACCCGAAATTCGGGTCTTCGGGTTGGGTCGGGGTGGTCTGGTAGGTAGTCAGACAGGGGGAGCGGGCCCGCGGCGCGCCACCACTCGGGCCTGGCCTGCGCGGAGAGAGCGCGGCGTGCGGGAGGGGTCCGCGCGCCGCAGGCGGCCGGGAGGGAGGGGCACACGTGCCGATCCTTCTGTTTGGCATCGCCTGACCTCGGTGCCGATCTGAGGGAGCCCCTTCGATGCTCGTTTCGGGGACCTTCCTGGAGCCCACCCAATGGATCTGTTCGACCCCAGTTCGACTCAAGTTCGACCCAAGTTCGACTCAAGTTCGACTCAAGTTCGACTCAGGTTCGACTCAGGTTCGACTCAGGTTCGACTCAGGTTCGACTCAGGGTCGACCCAAATCGACTGATGTTCGACGCAGCT